ATATATTTATATATATATATATATATATATATATATATATATATCCACAGACATTTCCGAATATATATATATATATATATACATATTTAAATAAACTCACTTTTTTACTATATAACAGGCCTAATATAAATGTTTAGTTTAAATGATAGCTACTGAGATGCACTTTTTTGAAGGGTTTTGTAAGAAGAGAAGCCAGGTATATTATTGCAGGGTGGTAAAAATACATCCCATGAGTAATGTGCTCTGGTATCAGGTGGGCATGCTGCCCTGCAAGATATTTAATCAATATCTGTGACGCATGGATATCGTGTTTTAGCAAAAGCTGCAAAGCAAAATGCTGTTTTCGGCTGCATTTATCTTTTTTTTAGTTGTTTTGACACTAATATTAGTCCCCACCGCAGCCAGCCAACCACATTTTCTGAATATGCACATCAATGTGAAACCAAAGTTGCAAATAAATGACACAGACACCATAACCAGCAGCTTGTGAACTGCTGTGTTAAACCCTTTAGGCAACAACCTCTTTCTCTTATTGAACTGTTTTTATTTTTTTACTATTAAAACTTAATCCAGTTTGCAAATGCAGAAAATAATCCTCTTATCCATCTGAGTGATTAAAGATAAACATTGCAAACACAGCGAAAAAAAATCTAATTAAAGCATATTAAAATCAGATGTATGCGTGTTGGCTGTTGCAGTTTTGCTTCTCATTGATTATTTACCTCCAGTCTGATAACTACATGTGAATAATCCCAGAGGAAATAATGAAAAGAGCCCAGTCAGAGCAGAAAAACACAGTGATTCAGACAGAGATGAAGATTAAGAGAAAAAGGAAAAGGACGTGTGCTGTGAGATAATCTATTTAGGTTCTCAGATTGAAAAAGATCTACTGTACATCTGATAAAACAAATGATTTCATCGCCTCAGACTTGTGAAAATAAAACTTCTCCATGAAACAAACTGAATGAGTCCTCTTATCTGTTTCCTTACAACTGATTACTGCCCTGCCATGCTGCTCAGTCACTCAATGTGTGCGTTTGTTTGCTGCCAAGGCTGAGCTGCACAAGTCATTTGTTATAATTATGTCTGCGTGCACAGACCATTTGAAAGCTTGAAAAGATTTTCAGCCTTCACTCCAGCCTGATTTAGTCTTCTTGTCTGAGTGTAATTCAGCTTCTCTAAAGTCTCTGCATTTATGCATTTTACATTTTATGTGTATTTAGTTTGTCAGGCTGCAACCTTGCCTCAGTTTCCCTCATAAATTATAATTTTAGGCTTAATGAAACAACAATCATCATTTAAAAAACACATTTTTGGTTAATGTTTTTTTAAGTGGTAGTGCTGTTGCCTCTCAGTGAGAAGGTCGCTGGATCAAATCCAGCCAGGGGCGTTTCTGGGTGGAGTTCTCCGTGCATGCGTGGGTTTTTCCAGGTAGTCCGGTTTCCTCCCACAGACCAAAAACATGTATGTTAGGCTGATTGGTATCTCTAAATTATCCCTAGGTGTGAGTGTGAGTGATTTTTTTCAATCTCGTTTGTCTCTCTGTGTCCCTGCGATAGACCTGTGACCTGTCCAGGTTGTACCACGCCTCTTGCCCAGCAATCAATGGCTTAATATGGGCACCAGTGACCCCTGCGACCCCAAAAGGAAGAAGCAGTTAAAGATAATGGGTGGATGGTTATTTAAGTTTGCTTTTCTTTTACTCTCTGGTTGTAGTTTGTTTTTCCTTCTGCAACAGTGCTGTAAACAGCAGCCACAAATTCAAGGAAATCAAAAGAGACATTTTAATTGCATCTTGAAATGAAAAAAATCTAAACCCCCAATCATTTCCCTTTTCATTATCTGTACATGCAATTGAGGTTTGGAAACGATTGTTCAGGTTGAACTTCTGAAAACCAAAGTGTTGAGATTCTTATTTTTGAACAAGACCAGGTGATCTCAATAAGCTTTGCATTGAAGCTAATACTGTGAGAATTTAATAAAAAAAAAACGTGTGCAGGCACAACATTAGAAGTTCACCCAACAGACTCTAATAACTGCTCCATCTCCAAGAAACATACATCTTACACTAAAGCAGTGGTGTATTTGCTGAGTTTAAAGCAAAAAAATAAAAAATAAAAGACAAACTGCTTGTCTCTGAGGCCTTGTTAGACTAAAAATATATTTAAGAGCACCCTCTAGTGATTTGAAGGAAAATCAAACAAAAGTTTAGCAGTAAGAGAAACACATCTGTGATGTAACTCTGCAGCACTAAAACTTCAGCTATTACAAAAAAATAAAAAATAAATGGAGAAAAGTACCAATATAAAAATTGCTTTGAGAACAAAGCACTGACTGTTTTGCTTGAAGTTGCATCATGAAGGAATTTTTTTTTTTTTTTTTAGAAAAGCCTCAAAACAAGCCCGCTTTCACTTGTGCTCAAACACACGATCCTGACTTTACACTTATAAATGCTTTTTATTAAACTGTCCAAAGAATGATTTTACCATTTGCTAAACAAAATAAATGAAGCGCTGTGAGGCTCATTCACTTTTTCAGAAAGTTCAATCAGGATATTTATGGAGCTCAAAGAAGATTTATTTACACTATTTTCTCACATGTATACACAATATCCTGAAGATAGGAGTTAAATCTATAAAAAATGGGAGTGGGGGTTAATTCTGTTAGGCTGCTGGGTGTTACTGCAGCAGGTATTTCTTATGTAGAGCACAGGGTGAGCCAGGCAAGTGAGTAATCAGTCATCCATGTAAAAAGCAAAAATAAACGCATTCTTCTTTACAAAGGTGTGACAAAATGTTTTTTTTTGTTGTTGTTGTTTTTTTTGCCTTGTGTAACTCGTTACTTTTCACCCCATACAAGCACAAAAATATCAACTTTTTTTAATTTAAAGCAGAGGAATAAGAATAGAACTAAAAAAAAACACAGAATATTAATAACTGCACGTAGAAAAATATAACAAAGTAAATATTCCGTTGAAATCATGGATTAAAATGTTGAATTTAAGTTGCACACAGGGATTGTTTATTTGCTTTACTGTTCGTACAAATTAGCAAAATAATCAGTGACTTTATTTTGAAATTCTTCACCCGGAAACACATTTACTGTTTCCGCTTTCTTCTTCTTCTACTGCTGCTTCTTTAGAAAGTTTCACTATGGCTCAGAGCGTTCTGAAACTTGTTGCTAAAGTCCCTGGGTTGGTTGGAGGTAAGCCTCTTTCTTTCTTTTGCATTAATGTATTTTATTTATTTTTAATTTAGCAGGACAAATATAAGTTGGTGTTAGTTAACCGTTTTAAGCAGTTCAGGTTGGTTCAGTGACCTTCAGGTGTAAAAACAGCTGTGTCGTTTTGGTAGTTGTTTGGTCAGTTGTTGTTTTTATTACTTCACTTTGGTGTTTTTTATTTAAATAAGGTTGTGTTTTTGTCATTGCAGCCGCTGTCACATACTCCAAACCCCGACTAGCGACCTTCTGGCACTACGCCCGGGTCGAGCTGGTTCCTCCGACACCTGCTGAGGTCTCTAAAGCCAGCAATGCTGCCTCAGGGCTGGTCAAGAGCTATCAGTCTGGACGTCTGGGACAGACCACAGTTAAAGTGAGAGCCTTATAAATTAACACATCCACTGATGGTGATAAACATTGTTTAACTTAAAGTGGCGATAAGGCATTATTACTTAGTTATTATTTTTAAAGGCTTATATAGATTGTAAACAATTACAAATAATTCTAACATATTTCTAACAATCAAGTAAGAGACAAGTTTTAACTATGATCTGGCATCTGCAACCTTTTTAATCATCACAGCCACTCCTGGTCCTTTTCAGTAAGAATATGTGCCCAGAGCTGCTAATGTACTTAAATCATGAAATAAAGATAGCACAAATAAAGTGTTAAATAATAGTACATATTAAAAAAATATATACATAATATATATATTCTTCTTTCGGCTGCTTCCTTCCTCGGGTCGCCACAGCGAACTAACTTGCACCAACCTGGGAGGGAGCCATCTAGGGTGCCCAGGGGAGCAGATGGTGGGGCCTTGCTGAAGGGCCCAGAGTGAGGCAAATGAAGGTGGAGGCAGGTGTGGGTGTTTCACCTTTCCCACCCACATTTTTTTTAATGTTGTCGGTACGAGGAGTTGAACCGGCGACCTTCCGATCACAGGCCCACCTTGCACCACCTCTCCCCTCACACATATTAAAAAATGTAACCTGTGATATTACAAAACGGTTTTTATTATTTTTACGTTAGAATAAAGAAAAAGACGAAACGATGAAAAAGATGTGTAGAAAATGTTGCCTGGTAATGTGAACTATGTAATGCAACACTACTGAAAATCTTGTACTCTGAACTTGGCTTGAGGCAGATCTCTTTAATAATATATATATTTTTATTTTATTCAGGATGCCATAAGGAACGGATTAGTCACCACTGAGGTGCTGATGTGGTTCTTCATTGGAGAGTGCATCGGCAAAGGAGGCATAGTTGGATACGATGTCTAAAAATCATGAACTTTTTTCTCTCCTTTTGCACTTCTTACTTTCTCAATACCATAAGCAAATTTTTTTTATATAAATAAATATTAATCGTACAAGATGGCATTTTTTGTTTCACTTGTATGTAACAATGAATAAAAACTATTTCCTAACTGTAGGGAAAAGTTTTGATATGCATCACTGTCAAATTATTAATAAAAAATAATGGGATATGTTGCATTTATAAGCCAATGAAATGTGCAGATATTTTTACAGACTTTATTTCTATGTAATGATGGACATCTCCTCTCGCTCTCGACTTTCCGTCATTGCAGTTACAACATTTCCCAAGTATCTGAAGAAGGCATGCCTTACATCCTCTGGCTCCTCTTCCAGGTTGGAGTGAATAAGCTGCAGTCTGCTCAGATTTGAGGCTGCATTGAAAAGAGAAAAAGTTAGTCTAGAAAACAAACCACTCGTAAGCTAACGCCACAAATTTTGCACGTCTTCACAGAGGTTACCTAAATGCAGCCTCCTCTCTTCTACTTCGCTGCCAGGCTTGTGGTGAGCTACGAGTAAACACTGTTTGTCCTGCAAACTTTGAGTGGAAATGAACATGGAGAACCAGGTCTCGATTTCTTTGAGGTGACTTGGAACATCGGGATTAAAAATGACCACCACACCACTGCAGTCCTTCATCAGCGCAGGCCAGCATGATTCAAATCTGCAAGAGAATGCATCAGCATTTACACATTATATAACATAACCACACCAAGATATAGGCAATGTGATATTTTAAGAAGAAAGGGACATAATTACACGTAAGCTTTTTTTTAACTTGCCTAAAATCCCCTGAACAGTCCCAGAGTTCAACGTCACATGTTTTGTCACCACTGCCCTCAAGCTGGGATTCAAACTCCAGTATCCTTGACAAGGTAGAAAGTGAATTGTGTATTGATATTTCCAACCTCTAAGGAGAACTACATTGTTCTTCATTGATGTAAGTCTTGAGTCATCTAGAGTTAAGGTGAAATCATGCTTTTTACCTGGCTCCTTTAGTAGGTCGATACTCGCCACCCACATTTTCCGTCGTGTCAGAGAGAAAATTTGCAAGAACAGTTTTTCCACTCTGAAAAACAGGCATACAGCTTATTTTTTTTATTATTACATTTGAAACAAACATTTCTCAATAATTAATTGGTATTTTAGAGGAACATGTTTCCTTTGTACACTGAAATGGGTGCACTTTGTGTAGAAGTACTATAAATTGCATTTGTACTATATGCAAGTATTGGTTACATTACACAACATTCACCCTGACTAGTTAAGACATAAATTAAAAAAAAAACTAATCAAAAACTGATTTACAAGCTTTCATGATCTGCAAGAAAATTTTAATCCAGATGTAACCAGTCTACTTTCTGTGGTTTTTATCTTTACTTGAAAACTACACTCCTTTTCAAGGCTGAAGACAAAATGTGCGCACTATTTTTGTATTTCTTTTGGTAAGGGCTAGTAGTACAGCATGAATAATGTAGAGTTAAGATTAAATTACTCGTCAACATCTAAAAGTTAAAGTTACATCCTCCACACCACATGAGCTGGACATTGATAACTCACTTACCTCAGTAGGACCAACAAAGAGTATTTTTACTTTAAACATTTCCACAAGCCGAGCATTAGCTGTCGAGCTAGCTTAACCTCTTATAGATGTAAAGCTATAGTACAAACGTCAATACATGTGTATTTATAGGAAAAAAAGATGTGTTGTAAACGGAGCTACAAGTAACAAAACAGACGAAATTAGCTTTGTTGCGTTGATTTGATCTGATCCCAGTACGGTTTAACAGCGGTGGCAGTAAACTTCCTTATCGTTTCTATGGTTTCAGAAACTCTCTTAGTTCATTGGCTGTTTGAAACTCAAATCAAACGTAGTCCCGCCTTATTTTTTCTCATTGGGCCAATCAGCAGCGAGATAATCCATTGACGTCATTAAATCGCCTCATTGCTAGCCAATCATGTTCGACGTCTCAGGTGCCTCTCCAGTTGGGGAGTGGCATTGCTGTATTGACAACAAACAAAGCGAAAGCGTGAGTAGTGTTCAAATTTTCCAGAATATACGCTTAAAATAAAAAAAAGGACTAGATACAATAAACATAATGTATTTGTTAGCAACTTTGCTCATTCGTTAAGTTAGCAGCGCCAACGAAAAGCTAGCAGAAAAAACTAGTGTTGCTGTGGAGTAACCTTAACACCTTGGCTTGGTTGACAACTGAACCTGGCTTTCTGACTCAGGTAAAATTAAGAATGGCTAAGGGTGAAATAAAACTAAATTTATTAGAAAATTAAACTTTTACCCTGCTCTTTGATTTCACACTGAATTTTAGTGTGTCTTGTTTGTTTAGATCCTGTGAGCTATGTCTCCTGAGGATCCCCTTGGATTCAGCTCCATCAAGGAGGATCTCACTTGTGGTGATCTTGACAACTGCCATCAGCTAGGAGGAAAGTGGGTGCACAACAGTCTTCAGACAAGAGCAGAGATCAACTGGTTGTGTACAAATGTATCCTTATCTTCCAGGCTTAAACATGACCGTCTTCAAACATTTTCTCATTCCCTGTCTTTTCTTTAGCACTGAAGACTTCACGGATGGGAAGGCTGCTTTACTGAAGCTACTTATTGATGCTGAAGCTGCCGGCAGCTCTGCAGCCATACAACTTGCGTCTTTCAAAGATGCAATTGAAGATGAATTTTCTGTAAGTGTTGTGCAATTCTCACATCCCTCGACTTGGTATTCAGCACACAACAAAATAGGAAGTATGCACTTTTATTTAGCTGTCTTCTGTCAATTTAGGGTTTAGGACAGTCTTCCAAAGACAAGATTCAAATCATACGACAGAGAGGACTTTTACTGGAAAAGCTGGAAGATTTTAGACGGATAAATAAGTCAGTACGGCAGAGGCTGAAACAACTTCAGGATGCAGAGGTTGGTGTTGAAATTTTTAATATCACCAAGTTTTGCAGCACATGTTGAAGCATTTTGCTGAATTCTATCCAAAACATAATATTCTGGCTTAGTCTATTCTTGGGAGAAAAGCAAAGTTGTGTTAATAAATTTGCATTGACCCGTTTTAGTGACTGACTCTTCCTCTTACAGGTTAATCGAATTGATGCAGACAAAGAGATAGACCTCTTGCGACACAAGGTCTCCCAGACTGAAAGTGAAAATGAGGTGACTGTTTTTTCTTTTTCACTATTGTTTTTTTGTTAAGCTCTAGAGGCCAGGTTGAATATTTGGTGTGAGAAAGTAGTTGATTCAAAGACGGTACTTTATTATAACTTTGTTGATTGGAGCTGATCTAACTGATGTACAACACTGTCAAAAACCAAACGGTACTGAAACATCACAGCAAGATATTTTACATAAGTGTATTTTATCAAATCTGACAAACTTAAATATGATGCCAGAAAGCTAGAATGATGGGCGTTCATTTCTAATGTCTGTTGATTATCCTTGCTTCCTTCCTTGAGCATTTAAAAAGAGACCTGAGGGACTCTGAGCAGAGGATTGAAGAACTGATGAATATGAGGAGAGAAGAGCAGGTAAGTAGAACAGCTGCTGATTGGGAACAAAAATGTTGTCCAAGTTAAATTTAAAATAGTTTATTTAAAAGTTTATATTTGCTTCTCTAGGGGAACATTAAAAGTGCTGTTCACATGACCAAGTCTGCAGAATCAACACGTGCTCGCCTGCAAGGACAGCTGCGCAACAAGGAGGTGGAGAACAGTCGCCTGACTGTTCAGTTACGGGTAAAATAAAATACATATGTTTTATATATATATATATATATATATATATATATATATATATAGCCTGAAGCTCTGAAAACAAGCTTCAGTGAATGTAAAGTTATTCTTAAATAACACATGAAACTTGTGATGTTTGATTTTTAGACTCTGGAACAAACTGTAACAAAGCAGAAGCTCAAGGTGGATGAACTGAAAGCATCCTTTGCCTCTCTGACCAAGAAAGCCGTGCAGGACAAAGAAACGCTCAAGAAAGCGACTCGAGCTCAGAAACAGAGAGCTGAGAGGTTTGAAGCTGCCATCGAAAAATGCTATGCACAACTGAAGGAAAAGGTATAAAGTCGAAATGGTTGTAAATATTGACTGTTTTGATTTCTGTGCACCGTCACAGGTCAGACTTTTGCTTTAAATTTCAGGACCTTCAGCTGACTAAAGCTCAGTTAGAGAGAAACTCCAGACAGAAGAATCAGATGACAAATGAGAAAGAGAAACTTGTTGCTCAGATTGACTTCCTGAAAAGGTCCGTCGCTTCTCTGTTCACCAACTTCTCCTACAAACTGGACATGTGTGTGTAGATGAGACAGCTGAAAGTTTCCTCTGTTCTTCTCTAATGAAGTCAAGTTGCAGACTTGACATCGAGGTTGCAGAAGAAGAAAGACGAGTTGGCTTCAGCTAACGAAATGAGGACGCAAAAGGTTGAAAAACTCATCAGTGACAATGCAGACCTCACTGTTCATAATGCAGCACTCAAGGTAAGAAATATTTCCCTAAATGCACATACTATAAGAGTAGAAATATAGAGTGGGGGAAAATGCACTCATTGAAATGTATTCCATTCATGTCTGTGACTGCAGGCGTCTGTGGCTCGACTGGAGCAGCAACTCGCTGACATTGAATCTGCACTTATCGAGGAGAAAACGGTCTGTCTAGAGAGGAAACACGAAGCTGAACAGTGCCAATATCAGGTTTGATGAAAATAATGTTTTAGACAATGATAAGCTTTAAAGTGGGAAAAAAAGCTTTTTTTTTTTGCAAATGCATTATCTAAAATTAGATTCAAACACCATATTTAATTATTATTATCACCTCATAAAAGCATAAAGACATAAAAACCTGGATGAACCTTAATTTTTTCCTTTTAAACACAGACAAGACTGAGAATTTTTCAGTCTTTCCCCCTCCTTGGATGGCATTAATCTGTCCTCCAGCTCTAATGTTAAAAATCTTGGCGTTATTTCTGATCAGGACATGTCTTTTATCCCCCACATTAAAAACATTACTAGAACCATCTTCTTCCACCTGCGTAATATCACTAAAATTAGAAACATCTGATCTAAAAATGATGCAGAAAAACTGGTCCATGCATTTGTCATTAGACTGGACTATTGCAATGGTTTGTTATCTGTGTGTCCAAATACTTCTTTTAAAAGTCTTCAGTTAATCCAAAATGCTGCTGCCAGAGTCTTAACTGGAGTTAGTGGGAGAGATCATCATATCTCTCCAGTTTTAGCTTCTCTCCACTGGCTCTCTGTCAAATCCAGAATTGAATTCAAAATCTTACTTTTAACCTACAAAGCCCTCAAAAACCTAGCTCCATCTTATATTCGAGATCTTATTGTTCCATATTTTCCTAGCAAAGCACTTCGCTCTCAGACTGCAGGTTTACTTGTGGTTCCTAGAGTTTCCAAAAGCAGAATGGGAGGAAGATCTTTCAGTTATCAGACTCTGCTCTTGTTGAACCAACTTCCAGTTTCTGTCCGTGAGGCTGACACATTGTCCAGTTTTAAAACTGGGATTAAGACTTTCCTTTTTGATCAATCCCTATAGTTAGGGTTGGCTTGTTATGCTGCCATAGGTTTAGACTACTGGAGGACAAATTGACCTAATTTCCTTAAATTAATCAATAAAATTGAATAGTTTTCATTTGATACTATTTCTATCTTCACATGTGATTCTTGACCTGCCATTGTGTATTTGTTCCTACCAAGCCTAGCCAGTCAAAGAAGATGGCCGCTTGTCCTGAGCCTGGTTCTGCTAAAGGTTTCTTCCTCATGAGGGAGTTTTTCCTTTCCACTGTCGCCTTCATATTTTTCTCAAGATGAGAGCCTGTGATGGAGTTAAATCCAAAGCAGTCTGCTCCTCAGATAAATAATGTTAAATTATTATTTTTATATATGAATGTTTCTGTTCAGTGTCCTAAGATGACTTCTGTTGTGACTTGGCGCTATATAAATAAAACGAGTTGAACTGAACTCATGAACAAAAAGAGGTTTGGGAAATAATCTCATCCTTTTAGAAAAGATTATTAGCAAATTATAGTTTCTACAAGTATCCTTGAGTAATTTTGAATCATTTTATTTCTTAATTATTTACGATCCATTTATTTCTTAAGCTCTTCAAACGCTCGTTATGCTTTTTATTCTTAAGCAATTAGAAAATCATGTTTTAATGAGTGCCTTAGAAAGGAGATTCTGATTGTGGTGAATAAATCAGCTCTTGTCTGTCCTTCAGTGACGAGTGTAACATTTTATATTTTCTGACTTCTAAATTAATAAATAACTCTCAGTTTGGATTTTTATCAGCTTTGTAATCTCAGTAAAGTTTCTTTTTTGTCTCTAGGTTGCAGAACTTCAAGCAGAGACTGATGGCCTTAGGCTGAAATGTGCAAATCTCTTAAGAGAAACAGAAAAGACTCGAGACGGGAGGGAGACAGAAGTTCAGCAGGTATCTTCTTCAGCGCTTTTATCGAACTAATGATTTATTTTCCGCACGATGTCTGAACTAATGTGTGCTTGGGCAAACGTTGAGCAGTAAAACATTTGTTGGGTTCATCATAAAACATATGGAATATGTTTCATTCATCTAGAACACCACTGTTGTGATTAATCCGCTTCATACTTTGTCTGTCTCCCCCACACACACACACACACTCCTTGTGTTGGCCTCCTCTGGAGCAGGTGAGGCAGGAGATGCAGCGGCGTGTAGAGGAACTTCAGGCTTACCCTGAGTTACTGAGTGCAGCCGAGCAGAAACTCCTCGAGTCCCAGGAAAGCCTGCAGTGTTTGGAGAGGAAGTGCTCAGAAAAGTCAGAGTCTGTTCAGCAGCTGCAGCTGAAGGTGTGCAACAGCAGCTGCTGTAGTCAGAGGATGTAAAATGCAAAAGTCAGTTTCTACGATCTGACCAGTAGGTGGCAGCACAAACTGAGCCTGCTGATGCATTTTGCCTTCTGATCTTTGAAAACTGATTGCAGTGTTTTTGTGTGTTCAGTGTGAGTTCTTTCTGTCAACATTTCCCCCAAGTTGTGTTTCTTTCAAGTAATTTTCACCTAATCTCTTCCCACACTGGGTTTCACTGTTTGCACGCATCAACTTTTGATTTAGAGGTTTATAAATGTTGTCGCTTCAGACCGAGAGCCAAACTAAACAGCTGAGATCATCTGCGGAGATGAAGGAGTCCATCCATGAAGCTAACTTGAAGCTACGCGCAAACGTGGAGTCACTTCAAAAGTAGGACGGCAGCTTTCAGAAGTTTCTCTTCCTTCTACAGACGTAAGCAGACTCTGTTTAATGCGTTTGTTTAATCCGACCGTGTTCGTAGGAAGATGGACGAGCTGCAGCAGGAGAACCTGGAGCTCGTACGGAAGCTCGCAGCTCAGGAGGAAGCTCTGAGCTACAGCAATCAGCAGTTGGATCAGCGCTCAGCAGAGTGTCAGGCCCTAAACCGGCAGCTGGAGGCAGCTTTATCAGATGTCAGAGAACAGGTGCGCCTCTGGACCAGATCACTGACAACACATTTGAGATTTAAGAGGCATCTACCGTACACGTCACACCGCCTTATAAGTCACATCAGTCCAAATATGTCTAATAAAGTGGAAAAATCCATAAATATGTCGCTTCACCGTATAAGTCGCATCTATTATGTGTCATCACTGACAACGGGAAAATGTCTGCCAAAAATCAAATGGCTGCCAAATGGCGGCTGCGGGAGCGTGCATGGGAGGACTTTAACAGGAATTTAACAAGAATAACATTTAAAAACAATTATTTGTTTGCTTGAAATTGTAGTAAAGGTGTGTCTCAGTCTAACTTTTGCTTAATAAATGCACTTTGATGATCAAATCAGCTGCATTTCAAAAGCCGATACGTGGAAGTAGAAACGCGCAGAGGAACGACTCGCTGTGCATTTCTTTAAAATTTAACAAGATAACCACCTAAAAACAATTATTTGTTTGCGCAATTTTAAAGTAAAGGCGTGTCTCAGTTTAACTTTTACTTAGTAAAAGGACTTTAACGGTCAAATCAGCTGTATTTCAGAAGTATTTGTTGCCTCGGTGCTCTGGGAGCACGCAGACTGGGAGGAAAACAGTAAGGAGGAACGCTGCGCATTTCTTAGAAATTTAACAAGATAAGCAGCTAAAACCATTTTTTTTTGCTCGACATCATAGTAAAGGTGTGTCTCAGCTGAACTTTTAGTTAATAAATGCACTTTAATGGTCAAATCAGCTGCATTTCTCCGGGTGGCGCAGCGAAATGAAGCTGATTTCACAGTTGTTCCAAGCGAGCTGGACGAAGGTGGCAGGCTTTGGCAAGTCGACTGTGTATTTAATAGCCACTTTTACCTATTACATGACAAAACAGCATGCCATACTGCTTGAGTGCCATCTAGTGGCTGAAAATGGTAGTGTTCAAATTTTTTAGTCAGAATTAATGAAAACGGTCACATCTCAGTCAAAAATTGGTTTATAAATATGAGAAAAATCCATAAATACATCACTTCAGTGTGTAAGTCGCAGGGCATGCAAATTATGCAACAACAAAAAAACACGGCTTATAGGCTGAAAAATACGATAATATGAGAAGTTCCTCCAAACACACACAGGAAGCGTTCAGTTTAATCCAATCAACACTTTTAATACTTGACTTGTCAAACAGGAAGAAGATTTGTCACACACTGTCTGATGTTTTATATCATCACGTGTTCAGGTCAGAAAAGTTAAATATCAGGCCGCTTCCAGAGAAGAAACGTTGCAGACAAAAGTCTTGGAGCTTGAAGCTGAGAAGAGCAGAAGAGAAAATGAGCTGAGGCTTCTTCACCAGAGCAAGTTAACTGTAAGTAGAACTTCTTTTAAATACAGAAAATGTATTAAGAGTTTGCTTAGGTTAGATTATTTTTTCCAGGGAACAAATGATCCATTGTGTTATTTTTGACTCAGTATCAGAAGAAACCGTCTGTTTGCCTGTGTTGCAATCTGCAGGCAGAGAAAAAGTTCCAGGTGCGTCTGAAGGACCTGCAGCTCAGCCTGGACCAATCAGAGAGCCACAAACGAAGCATTCAGAACTACGTCGATTTCCTTAAAAACTCCTATAAAACAATGTTTGATGAAGGGCTGCAGATATCGACCTTTGGACCATCGTACGTCCTGAAATGACGACGGTTTGCTTTCATCAACCCGTCTATATTTACCCTGTGATATTTATAAGACTTACTTCAAAATAAGTGTGGAAAGATATTCAATTGTGTTCAGGAAAACTGAAATCCATTGTCTCTTTTTTTTTTAAGGTGTTTGAACAGTAGCCTTACATCCTGATGGAGTTTCCATGTTTTGTGAACAGAGCTTGACAGCTGTTTTAACTCCGGTCTGACAAGATGCTTTGTGATATATTTAAACGCGTGCTAACGTCTTTGTGCTACATTTATCTGTGTGACAGCCGCACCAGCTTCAACTCTGACGTCACCTGATTGTATGGTGCAAACATATTTCTCCTTTTTCAGTGTGACTTAAGAAGCGTTAGACTGCGAGGAAGCGAAACGCTGAATTTCTGCATTGTTACCTCATCTGTAAAGCACGGTGGTGGTAGTGTCATGGTTTGGGGCTGGTTTGCTGCATCCGTGACATGACGGGTTACTAATATTGATGAAACCACACATTCCTAATTGCACTAGCTTATTCTTAAGAAGAATATGTGAGCTAAAACTCAATTGAAGAAGAAGAAGAAGAAAACAGATTAAAATCAATAAAAATTGATGCACCAAAGAATTGTTAAAAAAAATGAAGGGGAATGATTTGGAAATATCACTTACTTTAATCCCCACTCCCCAAATAAAAAACAATAGAACATGAAGGATGTGCGAGGATCTCAGATGTCAAATTTAATAACGGTGACTTTTAAAAAAAAAGAGGCTTGCACCTTAAACAGGAAGTTGATGTTTATCATTGGACTTTTTCAGTAATGTGTGAATCCACCACAAAATGTTGGTCAGTTTGATTTTACTGAGCTCTTTTTGTTTACCGTATTTTTCAGACTATAAGGCGCACTTAAAATCCTTTAATTTTCTCATATATTGACTATGAGCCTTATAACTCAGTGCGCCTTATGTATGAAAAACACGGTACCGTTAGGTAAAATTGATGTTTAAAAAAAGTTTCTAAAAGTTCACAGCCCCTTAAACACTTGTTTAGTTGAATGGATCTAATCATCATAAATCAACCAAAATCTGCTCTTCCAGAGTTTTAACTTTCATTTTAATTGGTCTTTTATCGCTGATGACAAATCTGTTATATGATAAATGTGTGTTTGTTGTGTTTGTTGTGTTTAATGTGCCGATTCTCAGCTGGAATGAAATGAATCGGGTTACAAATAAATAATACATTAAATAAATAATTGCTCTTTTGGTTTGTATCAATTCAAAACTGTAATCTGTTTATTGTTCACATTTTAAAAAACTGTAGATCAGGTCTGTTTTTACTGCAGCTGGAGGGTTTCAAGCCACGCTCCATCCTCACCACCTCCCTCCTGAGAAAAGATTGTACAAAAGTAATGATACAAGTCTGAGTGTACCTTTGAGCTGTCGGGGCTGGATCTCACAGATCTGAGTTTCTGTCGCTGATTCGCTCTAGATCAGGGGTGCCCTAACTTTTTCCTTGAGAGGGCCAAATTTAAAATCTATCAGAGAGCTGTGGGCCAAATGCAATAATATAATACATTAAATGCAAGTACTTCTTTAATTAAAGTCCATTTATTTATTCTACTGTTATTTAACCTTCCATTCTGTATAAAGAACATTACAGAACAGGCTGTGTTGGTGGTGATGGGGGCTGGTGGTCCTCCCCAAAAGAATTTTGATTAAAGTAGAAGTCATTTTCTGCATTCTGGTGTATTTTACACAAGTTTATTACAGTAGATTAACATGAAACAAAAGGTGTAAACTCTATTATTATTGAAATATCTCTGACTGCAAAGCTGCAGCTCTGCAGGTAAGGGGCGTTCACTACAGGACAAATCAAGGTTGCTGATTGGTCAGTTGCTGACACGTCTACTGGATTGATTGACAGGTGGAAGGACTCTCCAAAAAAAAAAAAAAATCATAGATTTTATTAGCCTGTTTGAGACTGTCATCATTTATTCCATATTTATTCAATGTTTTGGTGAATCAAAGGTTTGAGAACTGTTTCCTTACACAATCCTGTTGATGGTTTCTTTATTTTTCAGGGGTGCTGAGTTTAAATAGGCTCAAATCACCATTGAAGCCAGTTCATATTTATAATTTACTTTTAAACACTTTGTGTGATTTATAAGTGTGCTCTGTCAAAGGGAAATGTTATTCAGTGGCAAGAAACTGCCGAGGGATGGTAGAAAGTCTGTCAAAATAAAATATAAATTATTTTAAAAAATCCATAAATCATCTACTCTATTGTGTAATCCGTGTAGTTAAACTATGGTAGTCAGGCCGACTAACAATAAAGTCAATGGGTGGAGTCAATGAGTGTAAGCACATTGATTCTTCAAAGGAAATTTTAATATAGTAATGAGGACAGCTTGGTGGGCAACTTTGGCCTGCGGGCCCCACTCTGGGCGGCTGCTGATGGAGAGTGGTGCCACGGGGTTCAGAGCAGGATGAGGTCTGAGGCAAACGCTGGAGTCCAGCAGGCTTTGGAAGGCTTTGATTTATTATTATTTTTTACTTTGACAGCAAAGTTTGTGTGATTTAAAGTGAAACTCGTATGACAACTTCATAAAATGGACCAACGTTGCTGATTCGTCAGGACGAAGTGCTTACCAGGTGAAAACTTTATTTTTTCTCCTCCACAGCATCAGATCTGATGACTGAGGTCATCTTCAGATGTGCTTTCTTGCCATGGATCTTTCCAGATGTGCATCACTGAAGCAGATGAGTTGTTCACATCACTGTCCCTGTACTTGAACCCGCTTTGGCTTGGCACAGCACAGTCTGGACGACAGAAGCATCCATGCAGGTGCTCTGGCGAGGCTTCTCCGTTCTGGTTGACCCTCCTGTTGAACTCCCAAGATCTTTCCTCGGTTTTTGCTGTTGAAGACGAACACGACATTTAGGTGTGACTGAAAAAGTGGGAAAGAACATTTAGAGTAGAGCAAACATCACCTCAGGTAAACCAGATCCTCGCACTCACGTCCCTTTGCAGTGTCCCATGTCGGTGAAGTCCTCAGAAAGCTTCCACGGTTGTCCAAACTGGGACTCCAGGGGGACATGGGTGCTCTGTGGGACACGAAGCTGACACCTGAGGTGGGACAATGCATCACTTTTATTAGTGACCCGTGCTTCTTGCCAGTAACGCCAGCAGGTTTGTTTTCACCTGTAACAGATGATCAGGAGGACAAAGCTCGTCCACATCCTCGCAAACCTGCTGTCCTGCAGCAAAATGTTTGGAGTCAGGTTATTTTTAGTCCAAAGTATTTATCCTAAACTATGAGAGGAATGTTTCTCTGATGTCCTGCCATGATCCCAGCTGAAGATCACGACTGAACCAAGAAGCACAGAGGGAAAATCCTCTAACCAACCATGGAAACACTTACATTTTCATTTGATAGAGCTGTTGCTTCTCAACTAGAAGGTCGCCGGTTCGAATCCTGGCTGGGGACCTTTCTAGGTGGGGGTTGCATGTTCTCTCCACACAATGACTTCTGGATATGGGCACCAGTGACCCCCGCGCTCCGAAAAGGAAGAAGCGGGTAAAGATAATGGATGGATGGATGGATGGATATGTATTTGCAAGACTGAACTGTTTTCTAGTGGGTCAAATAAACGTTTTGTGATTTTAATTTACTCACGAACATTTTTCATCCTCCAAAAGTGGAGATTCTGTTAGAGGTGTATTATTAAGTCATTAAAACATGCATTCATCCACAACTTTTGACAGCTTAACATAAAAATATGTACAATTTGTTTGTGCAACTTGTTGATTGTGTCAAATTAGAAATCTATGCCGAATTAGAGCAACAGAGAGGCCACTTTAACCCTTCAACAATATTCAGTCAGCTCATCTGGACAGTTTCTTTTTTTATGCTGAGACGTTTCGCCCTCCATCCAGAAGGCTTCCACAGTCATCAGCCCTTCTGGATGGAGGGTGAAGCGTCTCAGCACCAAAAAAATAAACCGTTCAGATGAGCTGACTGAACACTGTTGGATTTTATACCTGGATTATTGAGCATGGATTAGGCACTTTAACCATTGCTCGTCTTGTTCCGTTTTCTTCTCATTTCAAAGTCAGATCTGGAAATTTTATTGATTATTTTATTGTTTTTTACAGATTTGATGGATTGTGAGAATTGTTTTATTGTCATTGCAACATGTACAACTAAATCGTCATTTATGCAGTACTAAAAGCCACCCCCCTCCAAAAAAAAAAGCATTAAATGTGAGTAATAAAAACAATGAAAGATGCACAAGTTAAATAATTAAAAATCTGCATGTTATAGAAATAGAAAAATAGAAACACCTGTAAACACAAGTCCATCCAGTACCTCTCAGGACGTGGGTGTTAGAAATTGTCTCAGTGTTTGACTTTCAAAAAGAAGACGAGTCTCCTGAAACGTTTGAACCTGAGAATTAAAAAAAATTAAATGATCGCCTTTTTGGGTCAATTTAGTTTAAGATGGCTGCCATAGAAAGCTAAACATTAAATAAACAAAAGTGGCTTCAACTCAGTTAAATTTACAGATGTTGATCTAAGCATTGTTGTGACAGCAGCTGCAAGATCAAGATATAAGGGGTTAACGAATGATGCAAGACATTGGTTTGACATTTTGCCTTTAACTATTAATAACCAACTCTGTCTGTTAGCAAAATATCTCATGAGCAACTGAAGATCTTGATGAAATTGTCAGAAAATAATCACTGGATGTACCTTTACAACTAATTATATTTTGGAGCCTATAAGATACAAATGTAGACAAATGACACAAAACTGACAAAATAATCAGTTTTATGAATATTGTACTAAACTTTGTCGTGGTGGTAGTTGCGAGGCATTCACTACATTTAATCTGAGCGTATTTTGTGCTAATATAAAACGAACATAGTAACTTGAGTATTTGTTCCTGTTATGAAACATTATTTAAACTGAAATGATTCAGTTTTAAACTTGAGTCAATGGCGCCCTCTTGTGGACACAATGAGAATTGCGCTTCACCTGCTGAAAAAAGAAACAACCTTTGTACAAGTGAAAGCGAAAAAAGTCGATACTTTTCGACAATTAAAAACAATAACCCTTTTATTCCCTCCATTTTATCAAGGAATATAAAGAAAACATGAGCTTAAATTGTAAAAGCGACGACTCCGCGGAGCACTTCTCCGTTTTGACGTAGTTTAACCTCGACACGACAATCAGGAAGTCTGGGGCTTTTTTTAATATAGTTTCCCGTGATTGAGACTCAAAAGTGTCCGTGGAAAGAGGATTCACCGACTTTTAACGACGAAATATGACGTGGCACCGCCTTTAACGCTCACGGGGCTTTTATTTATGTCGGGTTTTTTTAGCTGTTACTCGTTTATAACTTGTTAAAATCGTCATTTTCCACCCGGAACACCTGGATTTCTTTCTATAGGGATGGATTCCCCACAGCTCACTGAAGATGAAATGGCAGAGATTAAAAAAGACGTGAGTAAAATCATTCAGATTTCAGCAGAGACCAAAGTAAAGGATGCTTTTTGACGAGATGAGGACAATTTTACAACATGATTAACTTAATCCGAGGCCTAATATTAAATGAGGAAATATCCATGTCCTACCACACCCTCTACATAAGCCCACAAAGAAGATAGGTTTGAACTAAAACACAGATAAAGCTTCATTTAACCATTTTCATTCATTTATTTGTGTTTAAGAAATTTGTGTTTGGTTGAGTCTTTAAATTATTTGTTCATTTCCCCTTAAAATGTGTCAAATTTGAAAGGAAAATACATTTGTGGTTTGAGCAGCACTTTAAATTTGATCAGATGATTGAAGTAAACAAAAAGATTCTGGCAATTTACCAATTTATTAATTTAATAACCAGGGCGTCAGTAGCATGTGGAAGAACCATACGCAGCCACAACAGTCTAGAGCTGTCATTTCTACGCCGGAGGGCCACAATGTGCTTAATGTGCGGGCTGGTGTCTGGCTTTTGATTGTGTTAGCGGATACGCGCGGCTGATGATCCAATTATATGACAACATGGCTTGCCATACCATAACCAGCCGCACGCAGCCATTTGACCACACGCTGACCGGCCTTGAAAGAGGTTAAAAAAAAAAAAAGTTTAGTTAATCTTCAGATGGACTACTGACAGGCAGCGATCCATCAAGGCCCAATTGGACGTTCATTCAACCGCTGCACTCAGCGGATGTGCGCGACCGACGAACCAAACAGGTGAGATCCCAAAATATCTGACATGTCGGAGCAGGGTCCATGTCTGAATAATGCAGAAGCAGGGATTTAATGCGTTTTGATGGCCCTGAAAGGACAAACACCCCCTCAGCTTCGATCTTCTGCCCCCTTTACTCAGCCGCATGCGTCCGCCGACCGTTAATAACTATATAAGCAGTCGAAGCTTACTAAAAAAATATCGGGGGGTTCAAGTTCGGACCTGTAATTACTGTTAATTCATCGGGTCGGGTGGAGTACAGAAATGATGGCGACGGGCTGGGGCCGGGTCAGGTCGGATTTTTTACCTTTAAATAAAGGAAAGAGAGACAGCTCATGTCATGTCAAGGGGCCTCCCTCCCGTTTTTCTTAAAGGGACACGCTGCTCACTCCCTCACTATCCATCCTTCCGTTCAAACTGTCTCATACTGCCATCAAGTGGTTGAAAAAGAGGTACTACATGCAAAACAAATCAACATTTCTTCTTAAGTTTGACAATAATTACTAATTATTGTCAAATGTCAAACGATATAATCGTTTATTGCAATAATTTCTGAGACAATTAATCGCCCAGCAAAATTTGTTATTGTGCCAGACCTAGTTGTGTTGGTCACTCGGGAACAAATGTAGCACCGTTTAAGGGTCCAGGTCTCTTGTAAATGAGTCCTCGTGGCTCAATGGGACAAGTCTGTTTAAAAAAAGGTTGAATGAATGAAGAGGGGAAACACTCACCTTTGCCCTACTTCTTCTCCAGGTGCTGACCAGACTGCGGCACTACCTCTGCGACAAGATCAGAGCCGATCGCCACCTGGACTACCTGCGCTCCCAAAGGATCCTGACGCGAGACGACGCAGAGGAAATCAGCTGCAGGACCACGCAGACCAAGAGGACCGCGACGATGCTGGACATCCTGGCCGAGAACCCCCGCGGTCTGGACGCCTTGATCGACTCCATCCGAGAGATGCGCTCGCAGAACTTCATCATCGCCAGGATCACGGATGAAGTGCAGAAGGCTAAAAACGAGAAGATCGAGTCTCTCAGAGGTGAGTGGAGATGAAGTGTGCGAGCTCTTCTTTGTGTTTTAATCTCTTTTTTTGGTTAAGATTTCCTACGTTTCTTCGTCCCTCAGCCTCGGGGACCTCCTCGTTCTTCAGCTCCCCGAGCACAACCAGCGACCTCCCCAGCACGTTTTCAAACAACTCCACGCTGCTCTTCCACCCAGACGGAGAACAAAGCCCCTCCACCTCCGACGTCGCGGGCTTGCTCAACGTGCCGTCGCTACAGAAATACGACCAACCTCCGTCTGCGGTCGGCGCCAGCGTCGGGGTCGCCTCCTCCAGCCTCCCGAAGCCGGGAGACCCGGGAGCTCCCCCGCTGCCGGACGAGATCCTGTTGGAATCTCCCTCCAACATGGACGCCACGACGCCAGGGTGCAGCAGCAGCGGAGGGGACTCAAATTTCCACCCGCTGCGGTCGCGTTCGCTCACTCCGACGTCACACAGGAGCATCTTCTGAGTCCTCAGGACGGCCCATTTACAGGAACACACGGACACGCCCGCCATTAAACACTCGCATCGTCTCTTCTTGTTGCTCCGGCCTTCCATTCAGCAGAAATACTTCATGCTACCACCGTAGCCGTCCACTTCACGGCAATAAAAGGAGGCTAATTTTCCACTTTGATGGTCGTTGATACTGGTGCCAGTTTGTTACGCTGCCTTTGAGTTTATTTTAAAAATGCATGTTTACCTCTTGAAATGCATCAACATAAGCGACATACGGCGTTTACACCATCGATTCAGAGCTTTTCTGATTTTTTTAAGAGTAGTTGGACGTAGAAGTTTGCTAATATATAAGTTGGAATGATTACATAAATACATGAGTTCATCTATAAAAGGGGTTTTCAACTAATTTCAGTGCGTTATAATAAATAAACGGCATTGTCTCTTTTTTATCCCTCGATTCTGTGTTAAATCATACAAACTTCATGTGAAATACAAACCGTGTTCTGCTTTTTTGTTTGTTTTTGTAAGTCACTTGTTTACGTTCGTGCTGCGTAGTAAAAGTTTATACGAATTCTTCGTTTGGGCGTGTTTTCTTTCTTTTCCTTCACGTTTGTGGCGGCAACTTTGTCGCGACGAGAACTAAACCGGTTTCGGGAAACGGCGCACAAAACAGAAAACGATCGGAACAACCTTTTTTTTTTTTTATGTATCTTTTAAATTGTGTTTTCATCTTTTCACATGAGGTTTTTTATTTTGCTTGGACTCTTTTTTTCTAGATTAATGTTTATGAAATGTATTTTATAAATCTTAGATTTTTTTTTACCAGCGAATGGGGAGCAAAGTGCATATGTGTGGTCCTGTTAGCAAAATACCTCCAATTTGAATGAAAGTTGCAGCAAGTATTGACTGGATGGACGTCTACTACTCATTAGCCTCTGTAGTCAGCCCAACTCAAGATGGCCGCCACAGCCAGTTTATTTATTTTTTCAGCTGCTACCTTCTTCAATGGTCACCACAGCAAACAAGCTCATACGAAGAGTTGCCGATTATTTTTACACTGGATGTCCGTCCTGACGAGACCACTGAGCTACCACAGCCCTCTGTGGAGCAGAGAGCTGCCATCTAGGGTGCCCAGGGGAGTGGATGGTTGGGGTTAAGGGCCTTGCTCAAGGGCCCAGAGTTGAGGCAGGTGTGGGTGCTTCACCTGCACCCACCGTTTTTTTTTTGTTGTTTTTTTTATGTTGTCGGTGCAGGGAGTTGAACTGGTGACCTGATCACAGGCCCACCTTCTCTAACCTCTGCGCCACCGCTCCTCTAATTTAACTTAGTCTACACAAAAATGGCTAAAACTCCCTGCATCTTGGTTGCAGTCCATCGTTTGTTACATCCCAAAATACGAACAAACTTTAAAATGTTCATGAAGTACATCGATCTTTAAACACAAAGTTGAGCTTCCACACTGTACGAGATCAGCCTCCCAGTCAGACTGCAACTGGAAACAAGTTTTTTTCTTTTTTTGTTTTGGAAAAACCGTTAAAGCTTCAAGAGACACAGAGGAACCATCATTGTGGTGAAGAGTGTCAGACCGGCTCGTCGGAAAGCACCAGGAGCTCTGCAGGGAGGATCAGCGGAGCACGTCAGGAGGTGCAGGTAACTCCCGTATTATGGAAATGACAGTGTCCACATGCTGGTGAGGACAGGACACACAAGAGGAGGCAGCCTGCAGCAATATCTACTGGCTGACAAAAACCTGCTTTACTGTTTGATGTGTTTAACGGACTGATGTGTGTGAAATATTAAATATGAGGTGATTTATGATCTATAGCAAGACGTTTGTTTACTTGTTTATTTGTTTGTTCTCGTGTTCCGCTTAACTGCAAACAAACAAACAAATAAAGACAGCTCATTATTTTAGAAGAGCGGTCTGCGAGATTTACAACCAAACGAGACATTTCTGCTTCTGCTCTCTCTGAATGAAACATTTACATCCATCCATCCATCATCCATCCATCTGTTCATCCATCATCCATCCATCTGTTCATCCATCCATCCATCATCCATCCACTATCCATCCAGAAACTGGGTTTCTTTTTCAGAAACAGATCCTGTCTAACACTGAATGCTAGAAAACGCCTTGTATCTGTGACTTTCCTTCCCTCCATTGATTACGGTGACATTATTTACATGAACGCTCCTACAAGAACCCTGCAGATGTTGGATGCTGTCTATCATGGTGCACTAAGATTCATAACTGGCTGTGATTATCGTACCCACCACTGCACCC